GCACCAGCTGGCTTGGGGCAGGCAGGAAAAGAGATACTGTAAAGATGCTGAGACAAGAGGGGTTTCCGTATGAGGAGTGGAAGGAATCTAGTCAAGGATCCAGCAGCCTGTATGCCTAACAGAAGTTTGTTGATCAAAGACGACATGACAACAAATCACAAAAAGCCACACTGCCACCACCCACAGGCTGCCCTCTGCTCTTGAACAGCATCTATTTGAGATTTCTTCTCCTGTGATGGTTTCTGGCTTTCTTTCTTCCCAGGGGAGGTCAATTTTGTTCAAGTTACACTGGCTGCATTTCTCTGACAGGAGCTGATATTTACTTGGAGAATTTTTCTGCCAAAGCACTGATTTGTGCGTGGTTTTAAATACTCATTGCTGGAACCTGGCAAGTTTGAGGGTGCGGTGGTGGTGTGTGTATCATGATGAATCTCTTGATTTACTGTAAAATTGGTTCTGGAATGACTGCACGTTATTGGAGCTATTGAAAAGAGTGACACCAGTGTTGGTAGTCTCTCTCTCTCTCTTTTATTTTGGGGGGGGTCTTTTTTTGTTCATTTTTAAATTTTTAATTGATAATAACTATATATTTATGGAGTTAAATATGATGTTTTGGTATATGCATAGATTGTGTGATGATTATACCAAGCTAATTAACACAACCATCTCCTCCAATACTTACTATTTTTGTAGTGAAAACATTTAAAATTATTCTTTTAGCAATTTTTAAGTCCTGTGATTTGTGACTACTTGGATGAACCTAGAGGATATGATGCTAAGTAAAATCAGCCAGACACAGACAGACAAAAAGACCACATGATCCCACTTACACGTTGAATCTGGAAAGGTGGGATTTATTTACTTTTTAATTAGACCTTTTGACTGTCTCCAAATCTCATAAACCACTGAAAGGTAGCCTTCCTGGAAGAATCCTGTCTACTGATATTAGAGTCATGTAGCTCCTTGACACTTATTTTATTTTTTACTTGTAAACATTTTATTTTTCAGTAATTGTAGACCCACAGGAAGTTGCAAAAGTGGTGAAAAGAATCTCAAGTAGGCTTCCACCAGTGGTGATGTCTTACAGAGATATTGTACATCACCAAAGCCAGACTATTGACACAGATATTTTTTCAAAAATTTTAACATTTTCAAAAATTTTCAACCTGTATTCACTTGAATGGGTGTGGTTCTATTTACAGTTTAAACACATTCAAACAGATCTGTGTAGCAAAGAGCAAAATTAGATACAGGACTCTTCTATCATTGCAAGAGATCCATTTTGTGGTCTCTCTTCATATTCACACCCACCAACTTTCTACCCGTTGGTCTTGGCAGCAAGTACTCTGTTCTCCATCTCCATTGTCTTGTCATTTCCAGAATGTTCTATAAATGGAATTTTACAGTGTGTAATCTGCTTGGATTGGTATTTTTCACTAAGCAGCATAATATCTTCCTAGTCGATCCAGGTAGTTCTCCGTATCTTGTCATTCTTTTTCATTGCTGAATAGTATTCCTTTTTATAGATGCACCAGTGTATGTCCAACCATTAGCCCACTGAAGGGCATTTGGATTGTTACAGTATTTTGCCAATGTAAGTGAAGGTGTTATAAAATATGCTTTCAGGATTTTGTGTGAACATTAAGTTTTCATTTACCTGGGATAAATGCCAAATAATGTGATGATGGCTGGTCTGTTTGGTAAGTAAACATTTAATTTTATAAGAAACTTTCAAACTGTTTTCCCAAGTAGCTATTAATATTACATTCATTCCAGCAATATAGAAGCATCCTTACCAGCACTTGGTGGTGTCACTGGCTTTTTATGAGACCCATTCTGATGCCTGGTACTTCATTATGGTTTTAATTTGCATTTCCCTAATGGCTAATGATGTTGAACATTTTTTTTTCCATGGGTTTGTTATTCATATCTCTTCCCTGGTGAAATATCTATGCCTCCCTCCCATTTTTAAATTGTATTTTTGTGTGTGTGTGAGACATGTCTCATTCTGTCGCCCAGGCTAGAGTGCAGTGGTGTAATCTCTGCTCACTATAGCCTCCATCTCCTAGGCTGAAGCAATCCTCCCTCTTCAGCCTCTCAAGTAGCCGCCACAGTCATCTTATTTTTTTATTTGTATTTTTTATAGAGACAAGGTTTCACCATGTTGTCCAAGCTGGTCTCAAATACCTGGATCCTGCCTCTGCCTTCCAGAGTGCTGTGATTACAGACATGAGCCCTCACACCTCCCCTACTTGTATTGTTTTTATCCTCATTGTCTTTCTTGTTGAGTTTTTTCTTGGTCTTTTTATAGCCTAGGAGTAAAGCATTAATCATACACGTGGTTTACAAATCTTTAAGCTCATGAATTATTTTTCTTATTCTGTAAACAAAGGTGATCCTCAAGGAAAAGTTTTAAATTTTGATGAAGTGCAATTTACCACCTCGGTAAAGTATTTATTTTAAGGATCACACTTTTGGTGTCATGTCTATGAACTCTTCACCTAGCATAGCTCCCAAATACATTTTCTTATTTTTTTATTCACAACCACCAATCTGTAAGCTCTACAGTTTTATATTTAAATGTGTCTCCACCCTTTGACAGATGTGGTGGCATGTGCTTGCAATTCCAGCTCCTTGGGAGGCTAAAGAGGGAGGGTCACTGGAGCCTAGGAGTTTGAGTTCAGCCTGGGCAACGTGGCAAGAGCCCATCTCTAAACATAATAAATAGACAAATAAATCTCCCCACTTTAATATGGCCTCTTTCTGCCAAGCTGTGGCCTCTGTCAAATAAGAATGCTAATCAGTGCTGACTTGGGACAACCCCTATCAGTTTTAACCCAGAACTCAATGATCCCGGTAGCTTGAATTCAGCATTTGACTCATTTATTCAACAACTATTAACTGAGATGGGCATTTTCCCAGGTGCTGGAAGCATAGATGTGGACAAAACTGACCGAGACCTCAGGCTCATTGATTTCCCCTTCTGGTGAGGAATATTGATGATTAACCCTAAATTTCATACGAAGATAGGCCTGTGAAGAACAAGGAATACGGTAATGGGATGGACAGACAGCCATAGGCACGAAGGGGTCCAGGAGACCTATTTAGATTCCGCTGACAGTTGAGTTGAACTCTGAGTGAAGAGGAAGAACCAGACATGGGGAGATGTAGGGAAAGAGTGTTTATGACAAGAAGAGCAGAGCACAAAGAACTGTGGGTGCAGAATCTACTGCTGGACAAACGGTTTTCATTTGCAAAGATGTTGATTCCAAACTGAGTGACAGGTGATGAAAACTGGACATATTGCTGTCATACCCCGGCACTTTATCCCAGAAAGGAGAGTCAAGCCAGTGCAGAATACATTCAGATCTCTCCTGGGTTTGACAAACAGAACTATAAATATGACACTGCCAGGCACACACAAGGCAAGGCAAGGCCAAAGCCAAGGCCGAGGCAAAGGTCTGACTCAGCCTGTAGAGATATGGTGAACTGCTCTGAGACTCAGACAGTTTCTACTTATGTGGGCAGTGGAAGGAAGAGTACTCACAGGTACCAGCTCTCAATGGCTGTGGGCAGCGGAGGGAAGAGTACTCACAGGTACCGGCTCTCAATGGCCCTCGTTCCACACAGGAAAGGACAACGTTGAACACAGAAAGTGTGGTGACTGCATTGCAAGCCATGGAATATGCTGCTGCTGAGAAGCCAACCCTCAACTGCAGCTAAGGAATTTCCTATTCTGCAGCTCCTAGGGAGGCCTGACAGGCAACTGATACCTCATCAGAACCTGGAATGTGATGAGAAAGTCCCTCATGGCAGCCTCTCAGGACATATAGGGAGGTAAGTGGGAGATGGTCTCAGAGGGGCTATTTTTTGTCAGGGTCTCACCGTCATCCAGACTGGAATGAATTGGTGCCATCATGGCTCACTGCAGCCTCAACCTTCTGGACTCAGGTGATCCTCCCACCTCAGCCTACAGGGTAGCTGAGACTACAGGCACATGCCACCACGCCTGGCTAATTTTTGTGTTTTTTAGAGACAGGGTTTTGCCTTGTTGCTGAAACCGGTTTTAAACTCCTGGGTTCAAGTGATCCTCCTGCCTTGGCCACCCAAAGTGATCAGGCATAAGCCATCGCACCTGGCATCAGAGCAGCTCTTCTTAAGCCCCCCACCCTCCTGTGTTCCTGGAACGCCACAGGGTGTTCCACCAAAACTCACACTAGCTGCAGCTGGAGTCTTCCCGTGTGGGCTGCATAGATGGGTCGCCAGGATGCCTCCAGGATTCCATAGTTGTATAAGCTCTCCCGTGGATTTACTAACCCTATGGTCCCTCCTCCATAGCCCAAAGAGCACTGTCCTTCTTAGGTTCTGGAACCTCGTCCCTTACCCTGTTCTCAGATTTGGTCCCCATCCTGGTCATGCATAGAGCTTCAGCTAAGATCAGAAAATGAAGTCGTCACCTCCAGGCTAGTAAAACACAAACACAGGCAGTTTTGTGGACTCCAGGGCTCTACCCAGCTTAAGGCTGTCAGTTTCCAGCAAGGCTCTTTCAGTCCATCTGCATTTTAGAACATTGTAATCCATAAGGTACTTGGTGACTCCCTGGGCAAAACCAATTGAAAAGGGGCTGGTTACTTGGCACGCAGAGTTTCTGTCCCCACTATGTAACCCCGATGCATTTCAACAAAACCATCTTCACTTGGTGCAGCACTTGCCCTGATATGCAGCAGACGGAGAAAATAAAGAATAAGGGCTTCTCAGGAAACAGTTCTGCAATATGCACAAATGAAAAGGGATTACAGAGTAGACCCCAAATAGTTTCCAAGGAGCCATTATGGAAAACAGGTAAATTAAATTAATTTAACTATATTTTCTTTGCTTAAACAAATATGTCTGGAGCTTGGAAAACAGCAGGTTGTAAAAATGCTTAATGTTTCTCTGAATATTAAGCAAATGCAAAAAAGACTCCTTTGTGACACTTTTTCTGAAGCCCAATTTCTTACCATGGCAAGAGGGACGATGCCCACAAAGGTTGACTGGCCGATGAAGACCTCAGAGATGACCAACTCACTCTTGGAGTCCTCGATCCGGGTTCTCCCAGCCAGATAATTTGCCAGGCCCTGGTAAGGCCATGTGTGTTGCAAGACTTAACAGAAGGAGCCATTTGTTCTGGAAAACAGACATATTAAGGTTCCATTTAAAGCCTGAGACTCAGCAGAATGTCAAGGATGTAATACATTGCCACATTCTTCTTTGTCAACCAAAAGAGTGTCTGCCAAGTTCAATAAGTCACATGGTAGCATTGACAGAGCCTAATTCACAGCTGCCCATCAGCAGCCCACAGCTCAGAATGGGCTGACGATCCATCTCCAGGGCTCCATGTTGCAGAAAGCAGGCTGCCTTTCACTGGATGAGTAGCTCGGCCAGCATTTCACCTCTGAAGACGCCATGCACAGCTCTTCCCTCCCCAGCCCAGGCACGGGCATGCCACAGTCCAAGCTCCACACTCATGAAAGGCCCCCAGATCATTTCATGTAACTCCACCTCTCCTCCAATCACAAAGCACACCCTGAACCCTGGCTGTTCCTGCTTCTACTTATCTGGGGTCTGTGGACCAGTGGTTAAAACTCTCCAGGCTTTAGAATTTGTGGATAATAGTGGAGACCTCATAGATGGGTGGCAGCATCAGGAGACTGAGAGTGAGAAAGACCTTCACACACTACACGGTTTGCTACATAAACTATGAGCAACATAAGAAGGTACTATGCTGGATTTCTCATTTCAGCAAATGGGATTAGAAGTAATGTAAGGAAATCCCACCTGCCTTAATTCATGTAATGGCCATATCATATGTGTCTTTGGAGGTGGGGGGGCTAAGAAGTTGGTGAATTCTTTATATCTGAAAAAGACAAGTGTGATTCTCAGTGTTTTTATGTGCAGGGAGCCCCTTGTCATTGACATGAGCTTGTAAATTGCAGGCTATCACATCAACAGGGAATTCACTGAACAGAGTTAAAACAGAAAGCCATGCAGTGCAGGATTGTGAATGACTCCAGATTTGTTAGCCTGTTTCCATCCCCGTGAATCCAGCTTCACCCAGATCCAAGGAAAGTCATGGCAGGGCAGTTGATCCATAAGCTCCGCCCAGGCCAGAGCCACACACACCAGCTGCTCCTTCTCTGCCAATGAGCCTGCCTGGACCTACGTGGGCTGAGAAGTCTCTTTCCTGCCTCTGGGGGCCCAGGAAAGGTCTACATTCTGGGCTCCCAACTTACAACGTGTGAGGAAAGAGTTTTGTAAAAGAACCTGCTGCCTGCTGCTTGTCTAACGAAATCTCCTACCATGGACAGCTCCTCTGCACTGGGACTTCCCGTAAGAAGATGGATGAAGAAACCACAATTATCTTCTTCCTTGCATATGCCAAGAGGTACCAGAGGAACATTAGAATACAGCAATAGCTTTGACAAACTCAAATTTCACTGACCTGTCTAATATCAAATTCTAACCCCAAATGAACCATATTAGAGTTCACATAGGATTGGTCATATCCAACTTTTTCCCACTTAGCTAAGGTTGTAGAAACTTCCAAATGCTGCTCTAATATTGCAGCCATCAACTAGAAGTGACTATTTAAATTGAAATGTGAATTTATTCAAATGACATAGGCAAATGGTCCCAGCTGAGACCAAACTGAGTGTGGGTACATCAGGGCTATGATTTCTCAAATATCAATTGGTACAAGTTATTTTGCATGGGGAAGAAAATTAGTGTTGAATAAAGGTTTCTGAACTCATGAAAGGACTGAAAGTGAGTACATATGGGACCGTCTTCCCCACCAGAGGACCCCTATTTACTTGGGTATCTTTAGTGAAAAGACAAAAAAAAATTAAGAGCTGAGTTTTGAATGGTGAGTGAGTGGTGATTGTGTCACTGCTGAAAAGAAGCAGGAATCTGGAAACTTAGGTGCCCAGTTTTCAGTTAAGCCTCCTCCCCACCACCATTTCCCATCCACCACATTCCAGGCTAAAGCCTCTTCCCAAGTCACAGGAATTCTCCATGAATCTACCTCTTAAGTTACTTTTTACAAGGGATGCTTGGTCCAGTCAGATCAAATTTTCAGTTTCTCATTGGGCTGCACTGTGCTTTGCAACCAGAACTAAGGAGCTGCTTCTGCTGGGTTCTCAGCATCAGAGAAGCTAATGCCAGGAAAGTGAAGATCCAGTGAGAATAGAAATGGAGTTAATATCATCTGTCACCAGCCATTTCATCCTGCTAAATTCACACTCTGGTCCTGGGGTAAAAAAAGAGAAGTGGCCAGTCTTTGGGCAAAGAAGGTAGGGTCTGCATGAGATAATCAGCCCTTCTGATTGTAGGCATGTCCTGCTTCTCTCTGACTTCCCAGCCTGTGAGCTGCACCTGCTGCAGAAACCTGCTAAAGTCCAGCAATAAAAATTAAAGTAGAATCACTTCTATGTAAAGCTTTTTTCTTTGAGTCATTTTACTCAATCCAGAGGAAAGGATTCTTGTACTTTTGGGCAGTAGACATACTTGCTAATAAGTCCACTTCTATGGAAGTTTGTTCATAGCTATTAATTTCATGATCTATTCTTGATAAGCCTTTCCAGTTTAGAAAAGTGCTTCATAATTCTCTCAATTTAATAATTACAACTGCCTTTGAGGAATTTTGATCAGAGCTTCAGCCATGAGATATGCATTAGACATTTTTTCCTGGGGTGGAGAAGCTCAGGTGTGAGTGTGTGTATGTGATTGTGTGTGTGCGAGTGTGTGATAGAAGGGGTCGGGTGTGAAGTGGCCACAATACTTGGCTATTTCTCCCTCAAGCTAGAGCACACAGGCTTCTTCAAAAAGGACTTTCTTCCCATAAGCCCTGTTTCCCATGCGTGCATAAAAGGACGCTCACTTATGAACTTTAGTCACCCCATTTCCCACCCTTTACACTCAGACCAACAGTCTCCCCCTTTCATAGGAATTTCCCCACATAGTCACCTGTGTATCCTGCCTCTTAATGGCGGGAGGCCTAAGGATGCCTTCCTTAGAAAGGCTGCTGGCAAGGCTGAGGCTTGACCAGTGTCCAGGAACTCGGATTTCAGTAGGAGGGCTCCCACCATTCCCTAACTGATGAGAGGAGGTCTCTATGCCTAAACTCTTTGTGCAAACAATATGGCTCATGCTGAATGCTTGTTTTCTGTCTAGGAGTCTGAAATTTTGGAATCTGCTGGGCAAGGGACACCTAGGTGACTGGCCCTCAGTAAAAACCCTGGGCACTGAGTTTCTTTTTTTTTTTTTTTTTTTGAGACGGAGTTTCGCTCTTGTTACCCAGGCTGGAGTGCAATGGCACGATCTCGGTTCACCGCAACCTCCGCCTCCTGGGTTCAGGCAATTCTCCTGCCCCAGCCTCCTGAGTAGCTGGGATTACAGGCACGCGCCACCATGCCCAGCTAATTTTTTGTATTTTTAGTAGAGACGGGGTTTCACCATGTTGACCAGGATGGTCTCGATCTCTTGACCTCGTGATCCACCGGCCTCGGCCTCCCAAAGTGCTGGGATTACAGGCTTGAGCCACCGTGCCCGGCCTGGGCACTGAGTTTCTAAAGTGCTTGCTTGTGAAAAGAACATCTCTCAGCCCAGTTTGGTCCCGGCAGGCACATTGGCAGAGAAGAAGCGAGCTGGCTTGTGTGATTCAGGCCTTAGGGAGATTGTGGATCGGTTGCCCTGTCATCACCTTTCTTAGATCTGGGTCAAGCTCAATTCATGGTGATGGAAACAGGGGTCATTCACAATCCTGTGCTGGATGGCTTTTTGTTTTAACTCTGTTCAGTAACTTCTTTGTCAGTGCAATAGCCTGCAGTTTATAATAATTAGAGGTGTCCTGTGTATTAAAATATTAAGAATAGCCCTTGTATTTTTCACTTATATGGAACCCACCAACCTTCTTCTCCCCTTCCCCCAAAACACGTACAGCATACAATGTTAAGGGAGAGGAGGAGGAGGAAAGAGGGAGTATATATTATTAGAATATCTGGGGAAAGCAGGCTCAGTCTCCTTCAACATGCAAGTGTCCTGCAGTGAGCCTGGGTTGGGGGATGAGGACCTGTCATTTCCTCACTCAGGCTCAGCATCCAGGCAATTCTTATGATGGGAGCTTCTTTTTACACTGAGTGTGTTTCTAGGCTCTTTGGCAGCCTATCAAAGATGTCTATTGTGTAGGCAATATAGTGTCCAGGCCTAATCCTGCTCCACCTGGTACCCAACCCAAGAACTGTGCTCAACCCTGAGGAACAGCCGACTGTCTGGGACCTACTGAGGCTGAGTTGGACTGGCAAATGTTGTATCTGTCTTCTGCATAGTGTCTTCTTGCGTAGGTTTTCATGGATCATTTTGCTTCTAAGCTATTTGTACCCTATGGGCCAACATTAGAACACAGGACGCACCCCACCTCACCCAAATGCTACTCCACTGTAAAAAAGATAAAAGCACAGCTGTTCTATTGAATCTCGGGGAAGGAGGCTTATGGCTATGCCTTCTTGGCACTTTCTTTATTCCAATTTGGTCCCCCAGTGCATTTTCTTCCTTTCCTTCTTTTTTTTTTTTTTTGAGAGAGTCTTGCTCTGTTCCAGGCTGAAGTGTAGTTGTGCTATCTCGGCTCATTGCCACCTCCATCTTCCAGGTTCAAGTGATTCTCCTGCCTCAGCCTCCCAGTACCTGGGACTACAGGCTCATGCCACCAGGCCCGGCTACTAATTTTTGTATTTTTATTAGAGACGGCATTTCACCATGTTGGCCAGGCTGGTCCCAAACTCCTGACCTTACGTGATCCACATGCCTCGGCCTCCCGAAGTGCGTTTTTATGCATCATCTGGTACTGTGGAATACAATATAAAAACCACGGGCTGACCAATCTTAAACTGAATCTTGTGATGCTAATATCTTTAAAGCCCTCTGATTTAGGCCATCATCCCATCTCCTCTACACATAATGTAGTCTTCATCTTTCTTAGTAACAGCTCCCGAGTCAGTGCAGTCCACCTCTTTGGTAAGTAGGTCCAAAGCACCCTTGACTTCACTTCCCAAATGAGCATCACTGTTAAGATCGCTTGATCAATCTCTGACTCCCCCTGTAGACTATAGCTCCTTGAGGACTAGG